AACACTATGGATTTCAATAATCTGTACATTATTTGCAGGGTATTGCGATCCATAAGACTGCTATGGACCAGGATAGAATACAAATTTTATTTCAGTTTCAGGAACTGAAATAAAATAAATAAATAAATAATTTTAAAGAAAAAATTAATTATTTTCAAAGTGAGAAAATTATTTAGATGGGTTAAAGAAAGCCCGATCGAGAAAGAGTGTCGAGTTAAGAGTGTTACATCGGAAAAATTAAAAACAAACCCTGGTGTAGGAGAAAACCCCCTTTAACTTACTTGCATTGAACTACAATTTTAAGCTGAAAGACTGTTAGTTAAAAATCAGACGATCACTCTTTTAGATTTAAATTGCCATAACTAAATTCAAGCAATTCATCACAACAGTACAAATGATTAAGCGATATTTTCTATAACTATAAAAAGAAGTATATCTACGTCATTCCTTGCTAAATAGCAATGCCAATAGTAATGGATTTATTTTTGTTTACAATTTCTCCTTATCTATATTTCATTGTTTGTTTCCGTTTTTATTTTAATTTTAAAGAATTGTGAGACACACGATCGTCAAGGTTCACGTGCCTCTCATATGACTGATGGAATATCTCCGAGATCAGAAATAACTGAATCATTTTGCGTTCTTGAAACAGAATAATCTTTAAACATCTCATAAGAGAACCTTTCAATATAAGTTTTATGAAGGATAATTTTCTGTCGTTATTTTCTTCAAATACGAAATGACGTAATTTTTGTCTAAAACGAAATTAATATTTAAATTAGTATTGACGATTTCATATATGGTACCATTAACCAGAGAAAGCTCTTTTGTGCAAGAAAGATCTTTTCAAAAATTCTACTCGAACCGAAAAGCGTGTCTACGAACAGATGAACCGTGATAGCATAGTACCAACAGCTCTAAAGCCTGAATAATTTCATATATGTGTTCATATTAACCAATATTACAAACAGTTTAATATTTTACTAATATATTCTCTTTATTATTAGTTTATTAAAAAAAAATTAAAATATTTGTGACATACAATATATGATTTTATATAATATAAATTCAAGCTTAAACATTTTTGTTTTAATTTTAAAAGTAAATTTTGTTGCCATTAAATTTTTGCAGAGGTACTAGCCACTATAATTAGTATAATAACCACTACACGTCGCACAGGAATATTGTAATCCACTGTTATTTGGATTAAATGAAAAAAAATGTCTTTTAACAGCTGTTTTAATTACTTCCGATTGATTTTGTAAAAATTTTAGAGATCTAGATTCGTAATTAGTTAAACAATGATCTAACATTTTATATAAAACGCTTTCAGTAGAGATAAATATTCCTATTTGAGCTTGTATTCCAGGTCTAATAGAAGTGATTATGTCACTAGCCAATTTCAAAAGAAAGTCAATAACATCTTCTGTATAACTTAGGCCCATTCCGAACATAACATTTTCGAAATCTTTTTTGCTTGAAATGTTTTCGAAAAATTCCTTACTTAATTTCTTGCACAATTTTCCAAAATTAAACGGAGTTCCAGTATTCAAAATTAGTAAAGCAGATTTATATGTCGCAGATGTGACTGTATCGTTAGAAGCATCGCTGATATCACGTTTCTTAGTTATTGAGTTTTGATAAATAAATCGCACTTGATTTATTGAAGATGTTGATATAGTTGCGTGTGATTCCGGTATTCCCCGAGTTACACCTCCAAGTACATTTGGACCTTTATTGTGTTGAACGCTATTACGTAATTCTCCAGTGTTTACGGACATTTCATTGTTCAGTACAACACCTTCTCCTCGTGCTCCAAACGCTGGACGTATTTTTGCCTGATTGAGTTTTTTATTTATTTTATATAAATCATTTAAATATTGTTTGTTGGGTATTTCATTTGTTGTCCGTATGATATCCAATTTGCCTTGTGTTTCGCCTTTAATCCGTATTGTCTCTTTGTACATTTTATTAAAGATTTTTCTGCAAATAAATATTAATTAAATTAGAATAATAGAAAGCTAGTTCGTTTTTTTAAATTCGGTTATTACTCTAACAACAACAGTGGTAAATTAATAGTCTAATAAAAATGCTTAAAATTTTTTATCTAACTAACTTCTGAAAGTTAAAGAAATCAGTATTAAAGAATAAAATTAATGTACCGTTACTTTCATATTCACGCCCTTTCAGCTCTCTACGCCCTCAATTATAAAATTGAAAAAACCATTCAATTTAAAAAATTCTGTTTGGTTGTTTTCGTAGATATTAAAAGAGCCTTTACCAAAAAACTTCCATATGCAGTTGTAAGCGGAATCTCGGATCTGGGTGTTGATGATGCGCTCATTAACTTTATAAATCAGTTGCTAACTGGCAGACTTATTAAAGCAACTATGGGCTCATCACCAGCATAAGGGTGAATAGAGGTACTCCCCAAGGGGAAGTATTTTCCTCTCTTCTCAAGAACATAGTGATGAATGAACTGCAAATAAAACTGAGGACATCGGGCTGCAAAACTGTTGCTTATACGGTTGATATTGCGATAATGGTTGCCGAAAAAAAACCACGCTTAGGGATATTTTGCAAAATAGTTTAAATATCATAAACAAATGGACACAAAAAAGTGGCCTAAGGGGTTAATCCCAAAAAAACCGAGATCATAGTTTTCACCAGAAACCATGCGATCCCTAATATTTCTCTACCTGCTTGTTTTCGACAGGAAATTTACTTGGAAGCAAAACACAAACACATTAGAGCGCGCTAGGAAAGCCAATATTCCACTCCTCTTATGTCAAAAGGCTATTCAAAAGCTCACTCAATGGCTATACATAACTGTTATTAGATCTATACTGCTATATGGCATCATTGTACGTATATTCGGTACTTCAGCGCAGAGCTGAACTCTGTATTACTGGAGCCTTGTGCATCATATCATCCATTGTACTAGATCTGATGCTTCATTTACTTCCACTAGATATCATTAGTAAACAAATGACAGCTTCATCTGCTCTTAAACTCAAAGCTATCTCACAGTGAAGGCCCAGTGACAATGGACACGCCTCCGTCCTTAATGTCTTTAATTTTACTCCTTATCAAATTTACTACATCTCTTCCATTCTCCACTTCAACAGAAAATTCGGAAGTTGAATTTCCATCTAGAGATTTATGGACGTCAGGTGATCCCTCCTTAGGAGAGGATTTAAATATGGCGAATATGATCGCCATTAGGGAAGCTATAGCTTGTTTGAAAATGGATGATATATTTAGCAGGAATAAAAACATACTATCAGACAGTCAAGCTGCTTTAAAGTCCTTGTGTTCAGTCCAGTTTACATCACTAATCTGGGTCCCCGGTCATAGGGATATTTTCGGCAATTGCAAAGCAGACAAATTAGTCAGAAATGGTGCTTCAGAACTTTACTAGAAACACCTAAGCAATTTGGGCATATCGTTAATATCATTCAAATCGTTACTGAGTTCTTTCTATGCTGAACTTTTTAATAACATATGGATTTACTAAAAGGAAATTAAATATTCTCATTGAGATTCTCCTACTCTGTCCCCTTTTCTGAGCATCTTGATCACGGTGGTTGTTTCTAGGTGGTTTTAAACCCTGAGTTTGATCAGATATAACCTAGCCTAACCTACTTTCAAATTAAAAATATCTTTTCAATCAAGTGGATCCAACTTTTAACCAAAACGATTGATAGAATTTTTAAACTTGTCAACGACGTTAATTATAATCTATGCCACATTAAGATAACTGCTCCTGTCGATCGAAGAAAGAACCTAATCATTTGTAAAATATAAACAAATTAATATCCATGAATAATGTATGTATGTTAAGCTGATAAAAACAGATATTACATTTTGATCTTAGCCATAAGGCCGAGAAGCCGTTGATCTTTGCCATGAATAATACAAACCGAGTTCAATGAAATAGGTATTACTGCTGTACCATAGAGATTAAAGAAAAATGGTGTGGTTACTAACACTTTAGATCTGTGTTATTATTTTTTTTATCTATGCTATAGTGATCCAAGAAAAATATAAGGTAATCATATCTGATCTGATAAAAACCATAAAATAAATGGTGCAACAGAAAGCCATTGTCAGCGAATTTTGATGAATTCTCTTTACTACGTAAAGGATCTATGGCCTTAGATAGTAAATGATTTATGGCAAATCCATTAACTTCTCTAATCAATTTAATTATCTTGGTAGTAGAAAAATAATAATAAAATTATATTATACTGGATGTCTGTATATAGTTGTTTTGGTGACAATTAAGTTGCGAACGAATTTGATGTCAGAAAATATGACTTCGAATATGAAAATATGACTTTTGAAAAAAAATAGTGCGGTTAAGACTATTAGAAGCTAACAAATGCAGACTAAGATATATTCTTGAAGAATGCCTGCGTTTTATACGTTTTAGGCGAAGAAATATTCAAAAACAATTGTTCTACGAAGAAGACTAAACAAGTATTGATATAGAAAAGATTACGGCTTTTTTGGATGCAGCTAAAGTGAAAACAATTTTTCGTCGTAGTGTCAAGAGCCCATATAACTATAATAACTGTAATAATATCAGGGCTTCTGCGAAATTTCACTTCTGCGTACGTCTATGTTAATGTCATTGTTTTACACAATTTAATTAAAACTTGAAATCGATTTCTCAGATTAAAGTTCATCTCAGATAATATTTACTCGCACAACAGTATATAATCATATGCTTATATCAAAGTATTCAAAAATTGTGAACAATTTTTCAAATATTTACACTAAATTTTATTTACTCAATAGTTATATATATTAGGATGTTTGTTACTTTCCCTTACTATTGAAAAGTAACTTTTCAATAAACGACACTAAAACACACATATACATATACATATACATATACATATACATATACATATACATATACATATACATATACATATACATATACATATACCATACATATACATATATATATACCATATATATACCATACATATACATATATATATACCATATATATACCATACATATACATATATATATACCATATATATACCATACATATACATATATATATACCATATATATACCATACATATACATATATATATACCATATATATACCATACATATACATATATATATACCATATATATACCATACATATACATATATATATACCATATATATACCATACATATACATATATATATACCATATATATACCATACATATACATATATATATACCATATAATATACATTATACATATACATATACATATACATATACATATACATATACATATACATATACATATACATATACATATACATATACATATACATATACATATTAGATATACAAGTATAAATGTTCAAGTTTTGAACTCTTGTAACACATAATAAATAATTTGTGTTTCATATACCTTTGGCGGTTGCTAAGTCCATCCCGGTATTGTTGTATAGTTCCATTTCTTGTGTCACTAACGATGCTTGACGCTAATCGGAAATTACTTACAGAATGGGTGAATAATACTAAAGACGCTGATAATTGCAACAAATCAAGAGTAGATATTTCTTCATTGTCATCACATTTCTAAAAAAAAAAACAACAAAACAATAAAACTTTTTTATTTGTAGTAATACAAATACTTACCAAATAAATATCCAAGATTCCATTTGCTACGCCACCTCCAGAAACCACAATTGAAGTTATATTCATTCCATTTACTAAAACTTCCTTGGCCTAAAACACGTTAAAAAAAAACATTTTTAAGTTATGAATAGGTTCGAAAAAATACTTTAGAGAAAAAAACACTAACAAACACTAACTAACGAAACAGTACACTATTTTAATGTTTTGAATATGTCTAACTTTTAGTCTACTGTTTGTGGTTGTATTCATGAGCACACAAAATAAATATTTAGGTTTGTTTAATATTTTATATTTATTTTTCATGTTAATGTTAAATATTACTAATTGTATTATTAAAATTTCTATCTCCATTTCATTTTTAATTCTAGTAATATATATATATATCACATATATTATCTTTTTTGTTCAGGTGAATAGCATAACAAATTGTGAAAGAGGCAATTCCATGATTTATATAAAAAATCAATACGTAGTCGAACATATTGATTGCTAACAGCACTAAAATTCGTTCGTTGCTTAGTAAAAAGCAGTAGTGCATTATATGATACAGCACAATGCAATACATTGGATAAATTAGAACATCATCAGAATATCATCAATTAATGAGCAAAAACATCACAAGATCACACTTTTCGCAATTAACGAATATTGCTGTTGGAGCTGCACAGTTAACATATATATGTTAGATATCTTAATAAGATATCATTAAAAGGAATATTTACAAATAATTTATTTTCTTCAAGTCACAAAATTCCTTCATAAGATGGAAGTTTGTGAAAATAAATTGATGAAAGAAAAGGAATTTAGGAATTTTGTAGAATCATATTATTTTGTTTGTTTAATAAAACAAACAACATTTTTATTGTAGGTTAGATACAATAAAAATTTTAAACAGTGTGTATTGCATTTAAAATTCAAATTTAATGTATTGCATTTATTTACCAACGATACTTCACTTCCCATGGCAGCAGCTGATGTCATCGCTTTTGTAGCACCCGATGCACCAACTCCTATTAATCCACCTGCGACTCCTAACCAAGACCCACGAGCTTGTCGATCATCCAAACTTACCGATTGCTCATGATTGCTTCTGTCAATTAAATTGTACCCAGAACGCATAGCGCCGTAAGCGCCAGTAACTAATCCAGTTGTTGCGGCAGCTGCAATTACAGGCGCCGCAACTGGGAGAGAGCACAATGCTGCAATAGGCACAGCGACAGCAGCAAACCCTGCCCATGTCGCAGTTCTATCAGCTGTACCAAGTAGTTTACTAGTAACAGAATTCGCTGGTGTTGGACATATTTCCAATTCAACTGTATTCGCTCTATCAAAGGTATAATAGCCATACTTAGGAGCAATCATTATTCCACTTGGTAATACATTATCAGTTATATAGGATTTCCAATTCTGATAAACACGACCATACTCATCTACATATATCATACAGCAATTTAAACTTGAATTTTGTAAGTATGCTTTTTTTGCTGAAAATGACAAAATTGTTTATATATTGAATGTTTATTTATATATTCAAAATTTCATAACTTACAAAGACATTTCCGAGCGCGAAAAACAGGATGACAAGAAAATTCTGTTGATGAAAGTATTTTTTGTGTATTTGTTTCATTATTTTGTGTAACTAAGACGTATATAATCGAAGTTAAGGAATGTCCATTAGTGTATTTTCCTAGAAAAGTAAAAAAAATCAAAAAATGAGAAACTCAATTTTTAAAAATAATTATTCAAAATAAATATTCTTTCACAAAATGAAAGATCTTTAAAACCCGCACTAGTCCAAAGTCCTCTTGCATTTATAGATCGTGTCGAATAATAACAATTTATAATTGTTTTTCTTAGTTTTATCAAAAATAAATAATTTAAAATTCAATTAAGAAATTCTAAATTTATTGCACTCACGTTACTGATTGTAAGCTATAACAAAAAAGAATTAAAAACTCCTATAAGAGAGTTTAAGGAATGATAAGCATCATTTGAATAAAGATTCTGAGTGAAATCAAAATAGTGGATCGATGGTACAAACTTTTGATTTTAATACTGACTGATTGTTAAACATTTAATATATTTCTAAATGGTGAATTTATTAAAATAATTATCTGTTAGTGCACCATTTAACTCATTGCAATTAACGGTACGTTTACACTATCGCGTTAACTTGGCAATTATGCAGCAATCAGATAAGTATCATGTTTAAAAAGCTCTGATAATTATAAGTGTAAAGATATTATAAAATGGTTCCTTATTTGTTTGACATTGACCAAGTGGTCGTTAAAAGATTATTCGATAACAACAAAAAAAATATTTAATATCAACTTATATTTAATAGTGCAGAAATGCATGTGCATAAAAGTTACTTACTCTGTTGCCAAATACTTTGAAATAATGTCTCTCGCATTTCTTCTACGGCCTTCTGTCCTTTTTGTTTGGGTAAAACAGCTTCTATTCTCTTCCTTAAATCTTCACAATCTGACTCAGATAATCTTGAAAAAATATTTACAAGTATATATAGTAGTAAATAGAATAAAATATTCATCTCACAATATTTCAAAAAGCCAAACTCTTAACTGGATATCTCTCAGAACAGTTACAAAAATTGCTCTCCATTTAAGAATTTCTTCGTACAAATCTGATCTCCTGTTAAAAATTTATTAACAATAAATTAATTATGTACTTTGAATCAATGACAGAAATTATGGCTTATGATATATGTGTGGTGATTTTTTGACGAAATACTAAATGAAACATTTTATCATTAAAATTGTTCTTTAAAAGGTATTTTGCCGAATTTTTCAGCTATGTCGCGATATCAAAAGCAGAAGTAGGGATTTTTGGCGCGGGTTTCCTCACAAAGAACACAACATCACAGAAAGTTGTAAAGTTGATACAACTTTACAAATAATATTCGCGACATTATTTTCGTAAAAAGAAGAACTGCAAACGCTTTTGAAGTTATCTCCGAAATCAAGCAAGTAAATATCTGATCAGTACTTGTCTTTAACATAATTCTGCATGATATCGTTACTTAATGATACCGAAATTTTGGTTTTTAATAACAGCACTATAGCTTTCATAGCCTGTAGCATCCATTCTCTAGAAATACATCAGTATAAGACCTTGCCCAAGAAATTACTAAAGCATGTAATTACCAACAAATACAAAAGAAGTATTAAATAATGATATTTTAATGATGGTAATGATTATATTTATGAAATACACAAAAAATGTATAAAATATTTGTATCATACAGTATTACTTACTCATTAAAAAAAATTTGTATAGATGATTTTATTTCCTCTCCTATATTTCTAAGTTCATCAACGTTTTTATTAGTTATGACTTTTTGGACCTGAGCTAATAATGCACTCGCGTCGTACAAATATCTACAAAAAAATATTGAAAATATATGATCACATTATTAATGTTTTTTGTTATCCTACAATGTGCGGAATGCAGCAATAAATATGTCGTCAATATCTTTTGTCTTTAGCTCTGGGCCTGGTATAAGATATTTAATTTTTTGCTTCAGAACATCCTTTTTATCTTTGGGTGTACTTGAAACATAAAAATAAAAGAAACATTTTTAATAATAAAATCAAATATGTTATTTTTTTCGAAAATATAAAAAAATGCCTAGATCATAATAATTGCTTTTTCTATAAGATTATATGTAAAGTTCTATTCGATGATGCCATCTTTAAAACAAATAATATGTTAATAATATGTCGAAACCGTTTTTATGTCCACTTGGCTTTATGTGCAAATTCGTACTTCTACGAAATAAACTAAGAACTAAGAATTAGAAATTAACAACTTACAAGTCCCAAGTAATTTCGGTGCCGATTCCACTATTATTAGCGAAGTCCTGTTGAATCTCTCGAACAGATCGTTGCCTAACATTGGAAGGTAAATTTCGACTGTTATGAGCATATTCGTGAACATCTAATACAATTCTACAATTTTCATCATAATCGTATTCACCATCTCTTGGTGCGATGATTGTGCGTTCAGTAAACTTGACACTTTGCAAAAAGTCCTGCCAACATGAATATAAAAGGTGCTCATCATCAAATAAAATAAAACGTCCATTATATGACGTTCCTATAAAATCGAATAAAAACATTATGAATATCGTACATAATATAAAATTTACCAGAAATTAAACGCCAAGTAAAATTTTGAGAAGCTAGACCTTGGGTGCAATTCTTTTTACAAACCAAAACCAAACGCATTTGAAATTTAAAGTTCAAACATCTGAAAGCTCCTGCAATAAAAAAATTTAATTAGTTATTATTTTGAACTGCACTAAGCTGCGATTAAATATATGTTAAAATTTTCTATATGTTATATAGAACAATATATATACACATATATATACGTCAGAAAACTGCAACGAGTTATAATTTTAACACTCAGAGTGCACTCATAAAAAACCAAAACTAAATGCTTATAAATAAAAGGAGCTTCTCAAATCTAAAATTGATTAAGGTCTACTTGATGATGATGATGAACATAACAAGACTATCTGCATTAGTAATTCAATCATTTAGAGCAAAAATAGCTGCTGGTGCAAATTATGATATAATTTTAAAATATACAGTAGGGCTAAAGATAGGAAAATTCATTTATTTTAATTTGCATTTATTTTAATTTGATTAGCAATAAAACTTTTATAAATGCTTTGTTATATTAATAAATATAAATTATTTACTTTTATAACTCGATAATGAAAGGGCCTCGCAATTCTGATGTCACTGACGTCCAGAATTGGTCTAACTCCGCCACTGATGAAAGGTATTCAAGCGAAATATGGTTCTAATGTAAAAATCGCGGTTGAGGTTTGGTCTTAGGGGTTGAATCTCATGCTAAGATAACGGTAACCCAATTAAGAAACTGAAGAAAAATCACAATACTGTTATAACTATTTGCAAACAGCTGAGGTTAAAAAAAGGGCTCCAAAAATTGAATATATCTAATATTCTTCTACAAATAAATACTATAAACAAACAGTATTGATTTATTTTTAAGAAAGAACGAAAAATAAAAAACATTACGATATTGTATAAAAAGAATTTCGGTCGAAAAAAATAGACTCTACAAATGGTGGCAAAGGTAAAATTGACGACAAGTAACGTAATATTCTGTTTTCTGATGTCACGATGATATTATCCACTATAAGCTACTACAATATGGCTTAATAATTAACATGCATTTCTCTTTATTGTTAGCACTTACTACGGTAAAAGCTAAAAATTGTAAGAAGAAGTGGCTCACATTGATCAAGAGAAGAAAAAGCATGTAATGATGATAATATTAGGACTTATACGTTTTAATCCGACAAAAACTAATACTGCTCTAACAATCTTTTGGTTCAATCTCTTGAATTTTTAAAAGTGTCCTTAAAATCCTGTGAAAATCCTAAAATTTTATAGTAATAGTGATTTCAGTCAAAATATATATGAAGTTAGTAAAAAAAATTAAAACATATTTAACTTAATAGAATTTTTTTTTAGAATAAAAAAATATATATATATATTTTTAAATTTTTAAAAAAACATACTGAATATGGAATCTCTAAATTTTATATTTTAAATACGTTATATATAATATATATTTAACCTAATACTGTCAACATTACAATATAGATTTAAGTGAATATAAATCTTTAAATATTTACTTTGCTGGTCGAAACATTTCAATGCGTTGTCGATAATTCTTTTACATCGCTGTTGAGTTTCTGCATCAGGCTTACGAGATGGAACCATTAGTTTTATTTTATGTAAAAAATTATCGCCGTTATTACTTAATCTGTGTTAATAAGAAATTTAAAAATTTTTCATTAAAAAATTTATATTATAAACATGATAACGATTTTCGTGGCGCCAAGTTTTCATGACGGATTTTAATCTATTTCACTATTCTGAGCAATACAGCTTTGTTTTGAGTTGTTAACCTTCGAAATTCATTAAATGTGCACCTAATTGGTTTTTTTTTCAAAGTTTATGTAAATAATCATTCTTTTACAAATCTAACATTTTTTTGAACTCATCATCTCCTCCTATAAAATTCTTTCATAAAATAACAAGACCCGTATGTCGGGAAAAAATATTGCGATTTGTTATCTAGGAGATATGGGGTTTTGAGAATAGGCATTGTGGACACATTTTCAAATGGGCATGTCTCAGACTATATAAAGGATAGAGATTTGAAATTTGTTGCGTTTTAAAGATAATTGATTGAAAGTTTAACAAATTGTTTAAACAATTAAGATTGTTTATATTAAAATACTTATATTAACCGTTAAAGAAACAGAAGAAAATAACACTGAATACCGCTTCGAAACAGCTACATCAGTTGCAGGTACAATAAAATCCCACTGCTTTATTCCCAATTCGAAAACTTGCTCAGAAAAGTAACATATGCGAAAATTCGTCATTAAATGTGAAACCTCGAATATCTTAATCGTAACATTTAATAAAATGAAATTAATAATTACAGCAGATTAATTATTTCTGATTGTAATTCTGACTCAGTTATTTCATCTTTATCATACTGTGTTACGAGATTCTGCATGATTCCCTTTAATTCATCACCATTCTCTGCTTCAAACCTATTACAAAAACAATAAAAAAGTTATATACTATTATATTTTAAAGAAATGTAAATATTTACTATACCAAATAAATATGAATAAAATGTTTCACTTACCAAAACTGTAATAATTCCTCTCGCATCACTATCCTTTTCGATTGTATTTCATTCTCCGAAAAATACTTGTCTAAACAATCCGAAAACACACTTTCATATTTGAATCTTAGGAATCTGTAAAGGAGGTAATAAAATAATATTATAATATTATTAATATAATATTCTTAATTAATTTTATATAATAATTCTGATATGAGTAAAAATTATTATAATTTCTTAATAATTATTTTCTTACACATATCGTATTAAATTCATTGTAATATTCTCGACGTCATCCGAACATATTTCTTCAGGTTTATATCCAAAAATATCTTGAATTTTTTCACGTAACTCAGGTATTTTATTTTCAGCTAAACTAAAAAAAAAAATGAATTTTTACACTTTTTTGAAGATTGACATTTGTGACATTTCCTTATATTAGTTATTTCGCCAAAAATATTTCTATATAAAAGGAATAGATTGACTTGGTTTGAAATTTAATATATTTTATGTTAAATGTTTTTTATTATTATGTGTTCTTTATTTTTTCGTTTCTTTTTCCGTGCAGAAAGATATAAGCATAACATATCGACCAGAGAACATTTCCCCTATCTTTACCATCCATCTCCATTCGAACCCAGGTATTCGTCTTTTAATACTTACATGTTGTCTGCTTTTCAGATCCCGGCGGGCTACAATAGCAACCAGAGAACATTCAAATTCTATTTTCAATATTTTTGAAGAAGAACAATTCTGTAGAGACGTTTCACATTAAAATTTAAGCACAAAATAAAATAATCAGAAAATAGGTAACCTGATAACTAAATAGATAACTAATAAGTATGTGGGTTATGTGTGAAAAGTAATGCGTCCGAATATAAAAATGAGAGACCTTGCTGAGGCTGTTGACGTTTTGCTTTACACACACCAACACCGTTGATGTCCGAAGAACAATATGAACAATATATTAAAAAAAGTTATCGATACATTATTAGTTAATGTAATATATATTTTATATTTATTTAAATTATTCTGTATTCAATTGCCTTGATCGAAGACTATGCTGTCAGTAACGGCACTGAACCGTTCAGTGGATCAGAAATTGAACTCATTTTTGAATTGTGTTTAAAATTACTTTAGTATATATGTTGAAAAAATATTAGTAGAGAAAAAGACAGTTAATTATCGTAAATCTATAAATATATGTATGAACCGAAGTACATGAAGTTATAATTTGCATAAAATATACATCAATGGCAAAAACAAAAACAAAACCGATACGAAAAAGTTTAAAATTTTTCTGATATAGATCCTGTGTGTACTTTCTTCTCTATAATTCTATTTAGTTTATTACTTACAGATCCGTTAACATGTTTCTATTCTTTTCAAAAATATGATGCACATCAATCGCTCGATGCAGATTTTGGGTTGCTGGAGTTTTAGAAACTTCTAACAGTACTTCATCATTATTGTCGAATGTATAAGCACCATTTTTTGGTATAACCATAACACCTGAGGGTAATAAATTTTTCGTTTTGTATGCAATCCAATTTTGATATTCTAAGCCGTATTCATCAATAAATTTCACACCAGTGTTATCTTTGAAATAAATAAATGAGTGAAGAAATTTCGTCAACATTTCATGTACCTTATTCAAGATACTTACAGATACCGCACAAAACTATGTGGCATGTGAAGTTTTCGGCTCTCATTGCCAATTCAAGATTTTTCTCATCTGCAACAAATACAAAAATAACACCAGACATTGTATACTTGATCTTATTTTCTGAAAATAAGCTACATATGTTAAAAATTCACAGAAAAATTTAAAAAATTCTACTATTATCATTTAGGGCACTTAGAAATGATTTCCTGATTTTGTTTATAACTGGATTCGCTGCTTGCAAGTCTGGTAAGAAGGCTTTAATAGTTGTTCTAAATAGATCACCATCCTTTTGAGACAAACTAAAATTATAAGGAATAGTCAATTTACCCATTTGTGTGTAGAAAGGATGATCAAATAGGAACTATATACAATATTTTGATGTTTATATCAATAACAGATTCCATTACGAGATACATAACATATTAAGTCATCTTATAAACGAATATATCATCCAAGTCCAAATGAGCTGACTCATTTCACAAAAAATAAGTTATTTTTGTATCCAAAACAAAAAACGGTTTATTTACACCTTCAGATCCAAAATCAATCCAATCTGTTCATTTTGACTAGTTTTACGAATTCATTCAACCAAAAAGTCTTTATGGTTAAAGATGATTTTACGAGAAATTTTCTAAGCAATAAATGATCACTTTATTCAAATTTTTGCATAATCTAAATTTTATAACACCTTGAAATTTATATTTTAATTAAAACTCTTCCCTATGGTGCCATAAGAGAGTTCAATTTACTGATTGATCTGATCGATTTTTCAAGATTTTTATTAAAACATTGGTATATAGCATTCATATGTGCAAAGGTGTGCTTTCAAATACCTGAATTTGAACCATTTCACCTGAATTTTTCAGTCACATTACAAATACCAAGCTTTGTAGATAATGCATATTATTGGCTGATTTCCTGATCAATATTGAATTATTAATTTTAGTTAATCTCAGGAGAAAGTAATAAATGTGACGTTTGAAAAATATATAGTACTAATTTGATCACCCTGAATAGAAAATAATTCTGTTCCTTTCACATACACATTATTAAATAGTAAAAAAATCAATTCCGTTTCATTTTTATCATCATTTTCTCGTGGGAAGCTCTTAATTTTGCTCATAACATTTGCAGTTTCGAATGAAAACCTTTAAAAAAGCAAAGATGAAATTTGAAAGTTAATATAATTTAATATATAAAATATTACTTACATTAATTCCATAAATGCCATTTTCATTTCTTTAATTTTATCATCAATTTCATATTCGTCAAAAATTTCTTCCAAATGAATTTTTAATGCATTAACATCATTATTAGAGCTAAAAATGTAAAAATTTAATTGGTATATATATGTACGTTAGTTGTAGATAAATTTATTTATAAAATTGAAAAAGTAAATGCGCATATCTTCACTGTAACTTAATTCTGTTATTCACCCTCCAGTAATTCTGGGACCTGAGTTGTAGTGCAGAAATATATCGTAGAACATATCGAAGACTGTGTATACGTATGTTTATATATTATTTATGAACCTTTCATTCGAATGGTGAACAAAAGTCAGGTCGATCCAACATTTTACTTGCGATTTTTAAGCTTTATTGGTTATCAGGTTAATTGAAATGGACGAATTACAGTTATCGCTATAATAAATAAAATGGCATGGCGACTAAATCTATTTGTCGTGCAAGAAGATACATTTGCGAAAAAAAATTAATATCGTAATTTACGCGAGAGTGGAAAGCTCTTGAACTCTATTTTCCATACAGCCAAATTAAAGTACTAACCTCCACAAAACTGCTTGCAAAAGAAGCTCTTTCTTCTCTTCTTTTACTTTGTAAAAATGTGATCGGCTCAACGCTATACTGTTTGCGTAAAACACCAAACTTAAGTACTGGACGCATGCGGACTTTGAAACAGGTCATGCGGATTTTGAAACTCAATTACGTATGGATTAGTAATCCCACGATGTGTCGAGCAGCGAACATGCCAGCGATATGGTAACGGAAAATAGAAACAGTATGGCGTGGTATGCCGAACGAGGAGGATTTTTCGAGGACGTATTTGCTCAGGATTTTGATAAACTGTTGCGAGTTTTAGAAATCATATTATACCGTATCAGATAACACGATTTGCGTCAAAGTCCAGGTGGGTATTTGCCTCTTTATTTGTGAAGTTTGTGGATCATCGTATTGATGTATATGACATGCATATATCTCATAAATATATAGATTAGATATGTATTCTCACATCGTTTTGAAAATAAGGTGGAGAGCTACCAATTGCTTATGCAATAACTTCAATGTGCATAAATTTATACGGAGGTACTGGAAACTGTGTGGACAGTACAAACATTTTCCTATGCGTTTAGCATTGGATACTGATCAGGAATCGTAAGTAGTTATCACAGGTTTTTCAAGCAAATTCGACTAAAAAGTTGTGTACACAAATTCAAAAGCAGATGCACATGCCAATCATCTGTCACGCGCTTATCTGTAATTACAACAATTGCTACATTGTACAGTTACAGCAAACTTCAGGATCCCATTCATATGAGCTGTCAAAACAAACTTTTTAAGAACCTGAAAGCATCGCATCTGAGAACAGCAAAAATAAAGGGCATTGTTCTTTCATTTATATATTGACCAGGCACAGAGACAAGTATATTGCATATGTATGAAAAACTAATTGAATGATAAAATGCAATAATCTCCATGAAACCATCAGAACGCATTTATGTTAACTACGCAGGGTCATTTGAACGGATTAACTGCTGAAGACCAACAATTACCTTTTCATTTTCCTCAATTAGCGATTTTTTTTTTGTGCTACCACATTTCTCACAAGAAACCTTAAGAAAAATATGGTATTTAGTCTGTTGTCCCGTCCCATTTAGTCCCATTTAGATAATTTAATAGGTCTTTTGTCTTTATCAATGATAATCAATACAACTGTCCTTAATGTGACTTGCAATTAGCCGACATGCTTTCTTAATCATTAAAACTTCAGTCTGAAAAACGTTGACCTCATTAGGAAGCCTAAGGGAATTGTTCGCAATGCCTGAATAGACAAAGAAAGACTGGAATCTTAACATACAATATATTTGTCGTGGTTTCAGTAAATATGAAAAAAGTGTTGAATATTAGACGTTATGACAACTCTATTCACTATTTTGCTTTTTGGATTTATCTTCCAAATAACGGCCGTTAATTATTCATCATCATATTAAGAAGGATATGTATAATTAAAACTGTTAGAATTATTAAATAATGTTAAGTTTGTAGGTAAAAATATAAAAGTTTAGATATAAAAAATATTATTCTGATGGATAGCAAACCGGTATGAATAACACTTGCATCGGTAAAGCACCTCAATTGTTTGAAATTACAATCGAAATATAGTAAATGAAAAAGATTCCATATTGCTCTCTCCCTAGTCAAGGAATACTAGAACCTTCCCTTAGCACGGTAGTAAGAATGTATCTATATCTATTAAAACAGTATTGGTTTCGAAGGTACGAAAAAAGTATTTTGCAACACAACATATATATTGAATTGTATATATGTATATTGTATTGTACTCAGTATATTTGAGTAGAAACAGATTTTTAAACATCTATTCTATCACTGCACAGCTTTTATAGTATTAGATAAAATTGTGGAGAACAGTATTTTTAGAGAATTTAAAAAGATATACAGGCATGCTTTTATCGATTCATTTGCGATTTCACAAATGAAATCGAATGAATTTGCTGGCTCTAGAAACCGAATCCGCATAAAAACATGTGATTAAAAACACTTATCGAAATAGTTGTGAATTTAAAAGTAGTGAAAATAACATGTAAGTATAATTACATTTTTTTTGAATTAAATCAGTTTCAAGTTATGTAAATAAAGAAAATAATAATTTTGACTTACGTCGACTCATTCAAATCTAACGGATTGCTGCAATCTCTTAAAATCCGTCTTTTTATTTTTCATTTGTGTGACTATTATTTTCAGCTGCCACCAATGCTAGCATTCTGAACATTTTATAAAAACTGTTTTTTTTATATTTTACTTATTAAAATTTAAAAATTTCACTTAAGAATTTTGAATATTTTTCAAAACGGCAAAAATATATTTCACAACTTGTTAAAATAGTCAACAGCTGTTTAAATTCATTTTATTCATTTTGAGTTCATTTTGAAACCGCATGAAAATATTCAATTTCTGGAACACCCAAAACGGGTTTATTCCGTTTCAAATTGAATTTCGATTTGAAATGAAGTCGAAATTCAGAGCATGCCTGATAAACAATAGATATACATACACTTAGAACTTTGGTCAATAATATTAATTAGTTTGGAATGGAGTGTGTTTAAATAGTCACATAAGGTCCAAACGCAGTGAATTAGCCACTAAGATCAATCTTACATTAGATAATTTAATTTTATTTAGAATGCACTACTTGCAATAACGCAATCAATATTATTAAATATTATGTTCATACTTACACAAAATTTAAAAGGTTTAAACATATTTTATCTACACTGTACTCTTGCTCGGGAATAAATTTCTTTATTGTTTCATTAACAATGTCTGGATCGTCTGAAAACCTAAAAATATAAAATGAAAACTATAAAATCATAAAATACAATGGAAAATAATATATAAAAAATATATGAAAACAATGGGTGTATCTGACGTAACCACTGTAAACGTTAAGAATAAAATTTATTATGTATTTGTTTTTGAAAAATTACAAAGTTATCGAGATAACGAATTACCGAGGCATCAGGTCTGTTAATTTTTTAGTATTCAGCAAAATATTACTTATTATTCTTATAATTGTAAATCTTTACATAAAATTTAATTTTAGTTTTGAAAGTGTTTAAAGAATAATAAATTAAAAAGTAATTATATTTAAAAAAAATTCAGTTTTACTTTAATATTAACCCCGCATATACACTGACTAATGTTTTCGATAAATTTATTTCTTCGAACACACATACATACGTATTATATTCGAATTTTATTTGCGAATGTGTTAGTATGCACTACTGAAAATGTGAAACCATAAGCACAAAACTTCTCAAAGCTAGTGTAGACACCTGGTAAATTATTTTTTAGTATTTTTCTTGCTAATTTCCTGTTATTTTCTTCCTTTTACATACAATTAAACAAACAAAATAAATCCAACTGCTTTGGCAACTTTACTAAAGAAGAACTAAAAGCAAACGTTCAGACGTTTATCATTTTATCACTTTACCGAATACCATGTTACCGAGCAACGTTTAAATACTCCTATTGTTAATAAATTTATATAATTATCTACTTTTTCCATTTTCATTACATAAATATTTTCTAATTTCTTTTTAATAAAATATATAATCGGTGTGTTATAAGTTTTCGTCTAATGAATTGTATTTTTTCTAATTGAATATAACTTATTTCTACAGAACTAAAAAAAATATCATATGAAACATAATAAATTATATTTTATCAGGTGTATGCATAAGTTCTTTCCAAGCAATTACAGAAGTCATAGGATAATGACCCAACTCAAATTCAACAGCAATTGATAAACGTATTAAATGTGTCAACGGAAACAATCAGCAAACGTTTAGGAGCAATGGAGATCAATAAACTAATAAATGGGTTCCACATGGATTAAATAAACATCAAATAGAAAATAGCATTCACTTGTGAAATACAAATTAAGGATCTAAGTGAAGAAACAGTACATATAACTGAGGCGTATATTTGTATTGGTATATGATTGGACTAAAATGATACTGTAGTATATTCGATCATGGCAACCCTGTATAAAGAAATAGATAAAAAAGGAAAAAATACAAAATGCGTGTTTCGTCGTTGTGCTCAAAGGAGTAAGCGTGCCGTGCCGTAATTATTATTATTATTAATATTAAATTGTAAATCTATATAACTTTAATCAATAAAGTATATTGTATTATATATAAGAATATAATAGATACATTTAATAAGCATTCAAATTATTGAAATTAAAAAGCTATAAGAGCTATTAACTTCTGGTGGAAAATATTTTTGTAAGCAAAGGAGCACCATTCAGAGCAAACTTCAAATTATATTACGCACTCACAAAATCATTGGTATATAATAAGGCAAAGGTGTGGGGAGAATTTTAATTACAACAAAAAGGAATTAAATAGAAATTCTTTTGGTTTATTTCATAAAAAAATTATGAATATAAAATTTCGATTACTATTAAACATGTCTAGAGATTGAGCTTCCTTCTCTATATTTGTTTACTCTTGATTTGTATTTCAAATATAGTCGCATATTAAAAATTTTTACCAAGCAAATTATAAACCGGTATATCTAAGATCATAGCGTCAACTGTACTGCAAAAAAAGCGTCTCTGTGTTTAGAAATGAAATAACAGAATTTCGTTAAAAAAGCAGTGCACTGGCAACTTTGAAATATTTCTGTACTTTACCAAATAAATGTTGTCTATTGTACATTTTCAAGTATTTTATTAATACTTAATAATAATATATGCTTGGCCAATAGAAATGCATTCTCACGTGACGTCATTATCGATATTACCAAACATGACAAGTCGGATGGCATTATGGGCGTTATATTCTTTTTTATCATTCTCGTTACCTTTTAATAGTAAAGTTGGCATTTTAGTTACACTTATGTCTATACATTCAAAAATGTGCTTTATATGTAACATATATGGATGTGAATTATTTAGTTACAGGCAATAATTTTTATATCCTATTAATTAATGTAAAAAAATTTACTATTAATCTTTAAAGTTTGGCCTGAATGGTTTCTTACTGCGTATTAAGTCTTCCACTTAATATATACATACATCTAAGTATATATCAATGAATCATTAATATATATGATCAATCGTTAACTCAAAAATATTAATATCTTAAGAATTTAACACATTTTATTTTTTTATTTAAAGAATAACGTTTTTTTTAACAACTAAAAAGGAATAATATTTCTACAATAATAATTTCTAGAAAAAAGAAAAGTGATTTCAATTTTCGATCATGCATGAACTTACGAAGCTCGTTGCCGCAATGAAAAAAAGCAGCAAAAAAAAAACTACATTAAAAGAATATAAAGTTATTAATTCTTAAATAAATCTCAATAAAACATTGTGAATAAACAAAACTTAAACAAATGATAATTAAATAATGCTCACAAATCAGAAACAGTATCCCAATTGGATTGTAAACTTAAAGCCAAATGCTTTTGTAACTTTTCAATTGAACACATTTTTTATTTTTATTTAATTTTCCACCTGTAAAACTATAAAGAGTTTGCGACAAGACACACGGATCTGAACACGATCGCCGAATGACTAAACGCAAACTACATCGAACAGTACTTGATTGCTCCCATGCCAGTGTTTCTCAACCGTAGTTTTGCTGAGATTATAAATTTATATACTTTGTACGTAATCATGTAATAAATTTAATAATTTAATAATATTCCATTGTTTTTATAGTTTTTTATACTAAAAATAATTATCATAAATTATTTTACATAGTGCATTTATAAATAAGTAAACTTGTTTTAAACTTATTAAATTATTAAAAGTATTCTCCAACAAAAAAAAGTTTGGAATCGCTGCTCTATGCCATTGATTAAATGCGCAGTTTACTCAATTTATTAAGTGAATTGTGTTGATTGCTGGCTTTATCACGGGTGTTTGTGAATATTTGTGAGAAAAAACGAATTTGGTACTTTCCCGACAAACTATTGCATATGAATATTTTTTCATTTTTCATTTGACTTCATTTCGAAGTACTTTTTTCTGTTTTAGAACAGAAAGAACAATACATACACATATTATACAACAAATATTTTTTATTCCTCACATAGAAAGTAAAGTAAAGCAAATAATTAAAAATTACGTAAATGCACTATACATACACTTAGCAAAAAAACTTTGCGTACAGAAAGTAAATTTTGTTTCAACATATAAAAAATTATTAAATAAATAAATTTTTTAAATCAATTTTATATTTTGTTTGTACTTTAATTCGTTATCTTTATTTTAAGCTAAAACTTATTTCTAACACATTAGTAGAAAAATTATAATAATTAAAAATGTAAAAAATTAGAGCTATCGGTGGCAGAAAAAGTTTGCGTACAAAACATATAAAGGGGAATGGTTTATGGTTTATGTTTTACTGTACCTGTATATCATTATACACAATCCCACTCACTTATTTTATAATTTAACGATTAAAACGTAATTAAATTTATAATTGCAAATAAAGGAAAAGAAATTATTATCAGTGGTAGCAGTATTATTATTGATCTATGGAATAAAAGAAAAATGTGTCGCGAAATTGGTCAAATCGTTAAGCGGTCACATTCTTCTATCCAAAGAGTAGTAAATAACAATAGCTAAACAGGATTATTGACCTCGAAGTAGGATCTGGGCGTCCATCTAAGCTGGCAACAAGAGAAAGCCGCAGCATTATTAATTCAGTGAAAGATAATCCTCGTCTAACTGGACTTCTGTTATAAAAATATATTGACCAGACATTCCAGAAGCAAATTCACGTGGATACTGTACACAAAATATTAAAAAAAATACCACTACCATGACCGGTTTGCCAAAGCAAGCCGCTTATTTCCAAAGATATTAGAATGAAGCGTTTAGCATTCGCAAGGGAGTATTAAAATAAGTCTCCAGAATTTTGGAAACGCATAATTTTTTCAGACGAAAGCAAATTTTGTCTCTTTAGCATCAAAGGTTGAACGATTATATGGCGAATCCCGGGTACTGCCTTTAATAATGAAGATTTGTATTCAACAATAAAACACCGTAGTGAAGAGGTAATAGTGCAGGGGTGTATGGCGAGTAATAGAGTGAGAAAAATGGAATTCATTGAGTCGATAATGAATAAAGATGATAATTTAAATGTTTTAAAATGCAATTTAAAGAGCAGTGCCAAGAAGTTGAGGTTATAGAATAATGCAAATCAAAACGTCATCATAATCGCTATATTTGAATCCTATAGAACATTTATAGGATTTACTGGAGGGTCGGGTACATGAATACAATATAACCTCTAAAGAAATGCTGAAAAACGTGAGAGACGCGGAATGGGGTAAAATAAGCAGCGATGAGACTGCGAAGTTGGTCAATTCGATACCAAAACGACTTATGGAGGTCATAAAAAGGAAATGTTATCCAACAAGTACTGAAAATATAAAATCTTTTAAAAAATAATATATTTCGACGCTTTTTAAAGTCTTGTACGCAGACTTTTTCTGCCACCGATAGCGGTAGCGATAGCAGACTTTTTACATTTTTAATTATTATAATTTTTTTACTAATATGTTAGAAATAATTTTTAGCTTAAAATGAATATAACAAATAAAAGTACTAATAAAAAATAAAATTGATTTAACAAAATTATTTATTTAGTAATTTTTTATATGTTGAAACAAAATTTACTTTCTGTACGCAGAGTTTTTCTGCTAAGTGTATATAATAAAAAACTTGGAAAAAAAGATGGAATTTTGTGATATATTTCGACCATTTGGGACCAATAAACACAATAACAAAAAACTACATATGCATAAATATATTTTAGCAATTACCGACATTTCTCTAAGTTTAGCTGTTTGCAACTAAATCAGGATATACCGCGAGAAGATAGAAGTTGACATTTGAGTCAAAGAGACTGTTTGAGACATATTATGACCCCATACAATAATTTAATAATATTAATACAATACTGTAATATTGCTAGTTAGTCCTCAGTTTTCTTTTTTCATACAATGTATGATCATTTAAATTCACAGGTCTGGCCAGGCCAGGCTTATCCAATCGGGAAATTTTTTTTATTTTCGCGCTGGCAACACTATTATACACATTCTGTCAAAGTTTAACGCATATCGGACGATTAGTTTTTGTTTGGCGTCTATACAAAAAGTCGAAAAATTTTCGTGTGGCGATTTTTATAATGGATCAAAAATTAGAACAACGTGCGTGCATCAAATTTTGTGTTGCAAATGGATTCAAGTGTACCGAAACTATTAAAAAATGTTAAAAAAGGCCTTTGATGATTTGTGTGTGTCGCAACCACGAGTATACGAATGGTTTATAAGGTTCAAAGACGGTCGTACAAGCTTGGACCATGATGAGATCCCTGCCGCCCAACAACTTCTATTACTGAAGAAAACATTGAATCGGCGAAGCAGATCGTGTTGGAAAATCGTTGTGAACCGATTAGAGAGATTGCAGTGTTGTTGGGCATCTCATATGGATCGGCCGAACACATTTTAACTGATGTTTTGGGTTTGAAACGCGTCGCTTCTCGGCTGGTGGCAAAAAAGCTGAATTTCATTCAAAAAACCCGCAATTTTTGGCCAAAAACTCTACCAATATCATCAACCAAACACCGTACTCTCCACTTTTTCTCTTCCCCGTACACTTTGAGTTTTTCCTCTCCCCCTGACTCAAATTGCCATGGCGAGGAACGCGTTTTGAAACCATAGAGGCCATAAGGTAAAAATCGCCACACGAAAATTTATCGACTTCTTTGTATAGACGCCAAACAAAAACTAATCGTACGATATGCGTTAAACTTTGACAGAATGTATATAATAGTGTTGCCAGCGTGAAAATAAAAAAATTTACTGATTGGATAAGCGCGGGAATTTATTTAATATTACTGTTATTCCTCGTTTTTTAATAGTTTGTAACTTTTTAAATTTCATTGCACGTTCTTTTTACATGAAAAAATTGTATTCTGTCCTTGTCGACACTTATTTAACATATCGACTTGACGCTCCAACATTATCTACGGCGCTGTGACCAAATATTGAAAATTTAATTGCTATTGAGAAGAACGATAATAATTGCGAAAAAAATATTAAAAAACGCGAGATTTTTGTTCTTTTTGTCCGCCTGCTAAGCGACAAATGACAAAATACCAGAAAAATCTCTGTGGGAAGCATAAAATAAAGCTTTGTGCCTCTTGTGTGTGCTCAAAGTGAAAACTGCTGTTCCTGAAAACGCGTTCCTTTTTAGTTTGTAGTGTTACTATTGAGTACACAACACATTCCATGAATAATATGTGCCTTGTTTATTTATTTTTTATATTTTTTATTAATATTTTGTAAAACAAAGTCAAACGGAAAAGAGCCGTGAAATCTTTATTTTTTTTTTAAATACTTATACATTTATTTATTGCATCTTCTCTTTACAATAAGTTGTAAAATCTTATCACTTATCACATAATATTACAAATTTTTATTTCAACTATACATTGTATAAAATAAAATAAAATAAAATAAAATAAAATAAAATAAAATAAGTCGACCTTATATTAAGAGCCTCACTTAGATCAATGGGTTAAATTTCATTACATGTTAGATGGTTTGTTAAGAACGCAGTTCAACCTTACCAGATTACTAAAAGAAGAGCTACAGTTTTTACTTCAAACTATTGAATATTAATTAATGGTTGACGGTCAGTTCTTTTTAGGCGAGAAGTAATGGATAGAAGTGCGAGATTGCTGGCTAAGGAGTAATCATATTCTGTCAGCCTTTTATTGTATTTTTTTCTTATATTGTTAAATTTAGCTTTAACTAGGGGAATTTATAGATCTCGATGGATACTTACATTCCTAATATAACATGGTGCAACAGTGATTGTTCTCAGTATTTTTGACTAAACTCTTTGGATCATTTAAATATTTTAAGCACTAGCATTTCCAAATAGCTAGATACCATAAATACATATTGGTTTTATTCTGCTATTCAAGAGTATTTTATATTCTATACACAGGGAGGACCTGTTATTAATGAGCCAATGCAATTTAGAGGCTTGGAGCTTCATCTGAATTTCTTAGGCTTCAATATGTTTGCGCCAAGTTAATCGTCAGTCTAGGTGAATAACTAAGTACGTTATAACCCGCTTCTGGTATGGGAATGTTATTTAGTAAAATTTTTGGAGATGTATTCCGATTTAAGGTAAAAATGACGTGTTACATTTTAGTTCATTAATTTTAATTCACCAATTTGACAACCATTTCTCTACCCAAAATAAGTGAGATTGAAGTTGGTTTGTAGCTAGCACAACATTTTGTTTCAACATCAAATTGCCGTATCATCAGCAAACGTTATGGTGACGACTGAGCTACTTATTGGGATATCAGATGTGTAAAGTACATACAAGATAGGGCCAAGAACACTTCCTTGTAGAACACCAGCTTCTTTTGGGAAATTATTAAAAGTATATGATTTACATTTAACTTTAAAACTTCTGTTATGCAGATACGATTCTAAAACTGAGTGGACATTTGAAGGTAATGAACAG